CAAGCAATTCTACAGAAGCAGATAGCATACGTTATGAGGGTGTAGGGAGCTCTATTTCAATGAGAGTATACTGGAACCTTGACTCCCTACCTACTGAGGGGGCCAATGACCTAGGTTTCAGTCCTGGATCAGGTTGGGAGACAGGGTTAGTGGGAATGATTTCTTGGGCTTCCCTACCCAGGACTGCAGGCCCGGATCCGAACTTACAATCAGTTCCACAACATGCTACGGGGCGCAGGGAGCCGGCGGCTCTACATCCTCTTACCATTGGACTGTGGGGTGCCTGACGACCTGAGTGTGGCTGACCCCAACATTCGCTTCCTGGATGTGCTGCCTCAGCAGAGCACTGACCGTGCTGGCATCAAGGGTCGGGTTTATACCAACAGCATCTATGAGCTTCTGGAGAACGGGCAGCCGGTGAGAAACCTGGGCCCTGGCAGGCACTGATGAAAATTCACTGCCCTTCTGTGAGCCTCAGTTTCCCCAGTTGGTCCCAGGTCTCTAAATGATAACAAGTAACATTTATGAGCACTTACTGCATGCTAGATGCTATTCTAAGTGCTTTGTCTGACCATCTCATTGAAATCTGACCATTACTCTGTGGGTTAGGGACTGTGATGATCTCTCCTTTACAGAGGCAGAAACTGAGGCTCAGGGACAGTGAAAAAGTAGATGATTTCAACTTGAGTATCCCTGCTCTGTAACTTAAAGCTTCCCTAGACAAAGGCTATGAGAACATCTGAAGGACTTCATGTGGGTGTAGGGGAAACTCAGCCCAGAGTTGAACCCTGGAGTGCAGCCCCCAGCCTCAATTTCCAGCTGGAGCAGTTGACAGCCTACCTCTGTGGTTGTTGCCCTGGGATTTTGGGAGAAGAATCTGTGAAGGGCAAATTTAGGCCAGCTCTGTAGTGAGATGTCAGAGGCAAAGGCAGCCCAGACAGCATAGACCCCATCAGAGTGGCCATCTCCCAGGATTCCATGTCTGCAGACTGAGGGTCTAGGGCCCCAGTCCATGGTCCAGAGTCTGTCTGCCTGGCCCTGGATCTTAGTCTGGTCTTCCTCTCACCTCCTCCAGGCAGGCACCTGTGTCCTGGAGTATGCTACCCCCTTGCAGACCCTGTTTGCCATGTCACATGATGGCCGAGCTGGCTTTACCCGGGAGGATCGGCTTGAACAGGCCAAACTCTTCTGCCGGACACTTGAGGACATCCTGGCAGATGCCCCTGAGTCTCAGAACAATTGCCGCCTCATTGTCTACCAGGGTGAGGGGTTGCTAGGCTGGAGGGCAGGAGGATTCAGGGGTCCTGGGGTCTCCCAGAGGGACAGGAGATATGGCGGCACCATTTCCTGAGCCTTCCCAGGTGGTCAGAGTATTCAAGCCCTGCCCCTTCCTCCCCTGGGAGAGGCCCCATCACCACCACCCTGGGACATTAGGTTGCTTTATGAGGTTTTTGGCTGTAGGCCCTGGGTGGAGTCTAAAGAGGTGGGTTCCCGGGGCCCCACACTTCATCTAGGGATGTGAGAGGAAGCAGAAGAGTCCCAGGCCGATGTATACAGAGCACAACAGACCGGGGCTGTAGCTTCAGCG